TTTCTATGATGCAAAGAAGTTGGTGTCGAAGTTGGGTTTAAGAGTAAGAAAGATTGATTGTTGCATTAATGGTTGTATGTTGTTTTATGACAACGAGTTTGGTACTCAAGATGGATCGTCAGAGGAATGTAAGTTTTGTCATAGTCCAAGATATAAAGTTCGCAATAGAGCCATTAACAGTAACCAAAAACGGGTAGCATTAAAGTCCATGTTTTATCTTCCGATAATACCAAGGTTAAAAAGAATGTTTTCTTCAATGCACAGTGCAAGTCAAATGACATGGCATCATACAAACAAAACAAGCCCAGGCAATATGCGACACCCATCTGACGGCCATGCATGGAAGCACTTTGATGAGGTACATCCTGATTTTGCCGCTGAACCTAGAAATATCAGGCTTGGATTATGCTCTGATGGTTTTGCTCCATATGTCTAAGCGTCCGGAAGTGCGTATTCTTGTTGGCCAGTTATTGTAACCCCTTACAATCTCCCTCCTGAGATGTGCATGACAAAACCATACATGTTTTTGACGTGCGTCATTCCAGGACCGTCGAGTCCAAAAACCGGAATTGATGTGTACTTACAACCTTTAATTGATGATTTGAAGAGGTTGTGGAATAATGGAGAATGGACTTATGATATATCCCGTAAACAAAACTTTTCTATGCGAGCTGCCTTGATGTGGACCATTAACGACTTTCCAGCATATGGCATGTTGTCTGGTTAGGGTACGCATGGCAGAATGGGTTGTCCGCATTGCATGGAATGCACTAAGGCGTTTACATTGGAAAAAGGGAGGAAAAGCTCGTGGTTTGACTGTTACCGCAAATTCCTACCATCAAATCATCCCTTTAGAAAAAACAAGACAAATTTCAAAAAGGACGAACGGGTAACAGATCTGCCTCCGCCTCGACTGGCACCACTTGCTATATGGAACCAAGTTTGTGAACTTCCAAAGTTTACAGATACTGGCAAAGCATGTAGAATTGAAGGACGGTGTTGGGTTGTAATAAAAACAAAACCATTGGGTCATATTGAAACTGACGATCTAGTGGAGGATGTTGCTTACCAAGTTGATGAAGTTGAAGTTAATGATGTGATTCCAGATGAACACACTACAAGTTTGCCTGATACAATGGTTGAGGGGAATCAAGTTGATGAGGATGAAGATCATGAAGATTCTGGATCTGAGGATAATATCACATCAGATGACGATGATGAAATGGATGACGAGCATGACGATTCAGAATAGTGAACCTATATTCATGAGAATTGTGTCTTGTAATTTTACTTAACGAACCATTTATTGAATGATTTAATGAATATGTATTCATGAGAATTGTGTCTTGTAATTTTACTCAAAGAACCATTTATTGAATGATTTAATGAATATGTATTCATGAGAATATGTATATGTTAACTTGTATTTTCTTTAATTAGGTAAAAATGCCACCCAAAGATAATAAGGGTAAAGGTCCTAGTGATAGTGGTAGGAAGCCCAGGCGTCCAAGGGTAGTAGTATGCCAGTCACCTCACTCAGCCACGTGTCCTCCCCCGCAGAGTCAGGTTCATCATATGTCCATGGACAATACTATGCCATTTACTCCATTACTATCATCTCAGAGTCCTCTTCAGTTCTCATCTGGGAGTACATGTTTTATTAGTCCATCTGGGGCCCCACCTGGTTTACCATTCCAGCAGACACAGGTGCCCTCATCCTTCCAGCAGACACAGGTGCCCTCATCCTTCCAGCAGACACAGGTGCCATCCTTCCAGCAGACACAGGTGCCCTCATCCTTCCAGCACGGTTTTCCATTTCCCACACATATGCCCTCATTCGTGCAGCAGCCTGGAGGATCCAACACCCCACTTCCTACACAGATGCCACCATCCGTCCAGCAGCCTGGAGGATCCACCTCTTCACGACCCACACAGACTGGTCGCACCCCCACATCCCACACAGAGACTGATGATGACGATCTTGGTGTGGATGATGATCAGATAGATGGGAGAGATCTTTGAGGGGATGATGATCCGAGTGAGATTCATACCATTGATGGGAGATTTTGGATATGGCCTGAAGGGAACTCGTAAGTTTCTTATTTATTGATTTTTATTTATAAGTACACATTTCCATTTTTAATATAACTTTATATAATTAATTATGCTAATTCAATTATTGTTGTTTTAGTTTCGGGTCGAGTCGGATTGCTGCTAAGGTTATCAATTATATAATTCAGCAGAATTATACAAAAATTTTGAAGAGTTTTAGAGAAGTTTCTGATAAAGAAGAATGGTTCAAGCAATTTCAGGTATAATTAATTTATTTCTTAAGTTATTTTTATTTAAATGACCTTTTCATTATTGTTATAATTTATCTAACTATTTATTTTAATGTCATATAACATTGCAGGCGAAATGTGTTTGGGATCCCCTGAACCATAACAAAGTAAAAAAAAATTATTTTGGGAGGAGTTCAAGACGACTTTCTGACATGCTACGACGTGTTAGAGAGAATTGGCACCTTTTGGGCATTCGTCCCAAACGGATAGGCAAATAAGTTTTTGAACAACTTCTTAAGTATTGGGAATCAGATGAATTTAAGGCTAAATCTGAAACTGCAAAGAAGATGAGGGCATCGGAAAAAGGGGGTTGCATTAATGCTGTTGGAAGTATTAGTACTGCTGAGCATGCTCGATGCATGGTAAATATTACAACTTTTTAAGGTCATATTTGGATTTATAACATATTATTAATTTAACTTAATTTTTATATTTAGGCTAAGCGTTTAGGGAGACAACCATTGATGACTGAGCTGGTTAAGGAGACTCGGACAAAGAAATCAGGAGGATTTACTGACGAGCGCACAAAAAAAGCCCTGGTAAGTAAATTTAAATATATATATATATATATATATATATATATATATATATATATATATATATATATATATATATATATATATATATATATATATATATATATATATATATATATATATATATATATATATATATATATATATATATATATATTTAAGCAATTTTGTGACGTGATTTTCATGTAGCAAGTGACATGTTGTGGCGTGAAAATTGAGTGGCAACTGATAATTTGTGGCGTTACAATCACGTGGCTATTTATTTTTTATTATTATTTTTATTTCATTTAATTTCATTAATGTTACTTATACATTTAACTTGATTTTTTTATTGTATGTGTAGGAGGATTATCAGGCGTTGCTTGTAGAATTTCTGACCCATAATCCTCAGTATACGTCTCCTCCAGAAAAACCGGTTCATCCAGATGTGGATTTCTATATTTGGAGTCAAGTTGTTGGGGGAAAGGGGCCTAACGGGTGTTTTTTTGGTGGCGGAAATTTGGCGGACACCTTGAGGAGTGGGGATAGAAATCTGTATCAGAGAGCTGCAGACGGTGAAGGAGGGTCACGTCAAACAAATTTGACACCAGATCAGTTAGAACTGGTAAGACAATTGGCTAGACGCGAGTCCGAAGATCGTGAGACGGCATTGAAGGCCCAAATGGATGCCCGAATGGAGGCAATGATGGGTGAACATAATAGACAAATTGAGGCAATGGCGAAGAGGCAAGCTGATATGGAGGAGCAAACGCGACAATTTATGCAAGCATTTGGTAGAAATCCCAACAGTGGTGGCCAAAATAATGATGACTTTCTTCCCGACATTTCCGACGACTCTAATGATTCTGCTTAGTTTTATTTTTATTTTGTATTTAGTTTTTTATTTGTGTAATATAAATTTATAATGATATGGTATATTTAAAAATATTATAAATTTAAATTTGAGTTTATTAAATTTATAATATTAAGTATATATTTATTTATACATTTAGATATATTTAGTTTTATTTTTGATAATTTGATTTATAATATTGTATTTAATAAATAAATTATAATATTTAATTTATAAATTTAATAAAACAAAAAATAATATTAATTATTAAAACATAATTTATATATTTAAAACACAAAATATATTTTTTTTAAATAAAACAAGTTGCGGCGTGTTTTTCATGTCACTAATTAGTGACGTGAAAAACACGTCGCTACATCTAACGTAAACATATATGTAAACCTGCTCTGACCCACTGCTCTGCTCTACTCTGCTCTGATCCTATACAGTATGTTGCGGCGTGAATATCATGTGGCAACTTGGTGGCATATTTTTCACGCCGCAACAAGATTGTCACGCGCTATATAGCGACGTGTTTCTTAAGGTGGCAAAATTTGAGTAGTGACGTGATTTGGGTGTTAGCGACGTGGCTTTCACGTGGGAAAACACAACTTATTTTGTAGTGAATTGATGATGAATAATTTCATGACATAGAGTCCATGTTTAAATTTGAGAAAAAAAGATTATTTTTTTTAAAAAAAAACCACTATAAATCATTTGGATGTTCTAAAAATATATATATTTTTTATTTCAAATAAAAATATAATACCAACTTAAATAAATAATTAACTACTTGCAAACGTTTAGAATTTAGATAAAGATATAAAGTAAAACAAAAAATAAAGTATTCAACATAAAAGATTTACACTAAATAATATAAATACGTAACAATTTTTAAAAAATTACATAAAAATTTATTGAACCAACAACAAAATTTAATATTTTTATAAAAAACAAAATCATATTTTAATCGAAACCTATATAATCTAATACGATTTAAAAAAAAAATCATCAATAGCAAAAGATACTAATATTTGCATGTTAAGAATTGTATTTAGTGGTACATCTCTTCTCTTCTTTTTTAGGCGTGTTTGGTTTACATGTGACAAAAAATGATTTTCATTGAATTGATTATATATAAAAAATACTACATGATAAGAAAAAATATATTATTAGCAAAAGATACTAATATTTGCATGGTTCACAAAAACCTGAATACAAAATACAAACAAATATAAATAATTTACAATGCAAGCGCCATTGAAATGAAAGAGAGAGAAAGAGATGAACCTGATAAGCAGAAGTTGAAGCACCAAACAAGAAGTGAGCAGGGAAATCACTTTTGGTCAGTGCATTAGCTACAGAAGTTATTGCTACCAATAAAACTGTAGCTAACAAATTCATCATCACTGCAAAGGAATTACACTTCATCAACAAGAACAATTAACTCTTAGTATTGTCTGTTTTTAACATATATCAAGCATCTGTGTGAACAATGATTATACTAGAACTATGTCGGTAAGGTTCTTCCAAAACAAAAAAGGCGTAAATAATGCTATGTGTACGAGAAAACTTCAACCTTTCTTTTCACCTGTCTGGTCCTGATGGATAATACTAACTATCCACTTTGTGTTGTCCATGTTCTTTTCATCAATAATTACAATAAAATGTTCCTTACGTCTCTATCTATTGGAACTTTTAATTTTATTAACAAAAATAAAAGTATAATTAATTTTTTTTATTTTATATCTATAATTATCTAACATTTATTTTGTTTATTTATTTTTAATTTATATATTTATGACTGTTTAAACTTCATTTATTTGAGGTTGTGTCTAGTAAATATTTCTTCTCTAAAATATCTTTCGACTATAAGTAGTTAATTTTAAAAATGAGTTTATATTAAAAATATAGTTATATGGAATATATTTATTTTTAAGAACGGAATTGTTGCAATATACTTTAAATATCTTTTGATATCTTTGTTTCTTTCTCCGAATATTTCTTCTGCAGTTAGTATTTTCTTCTATGAGCGTATGAGTGTTCGTGTATGAACTTGCTTGTCCATACTACATTTCTAGCAACAGGTTCTTATTCTTAGAGTTTCTCATTATGGAGATCGTACCAACTATAAATAAGATGGTGTAGAAGGGCATTTTGGGCGACTGGGTTGATTGAGAGATATTGAGGACGTCTCCGTTTCGCATGCAAGGGTGATCTAGATCATAGTTCGATTGACGTGGGTGTTGGTGCATAAAAGTGAGATGAAAGACAAAAAAAAAATATTAAAATGACGGCTTCAAAATAAGGAGTAATAGATACATTGACCTACCTATTATTAGACTATTTATACACAATATTAGATATAATAAAATACTAAAATATCCTCTAACAAACTTAGTCAACAAGACATTCCTAAAATATAAATTATTTCCAACACCATCCCTTAATTTATGTTTACACAAAACTGACAACACAACTAGAATCTCAGAAGCTAAACATACTTCTAGGCGTAACCTCAGAAACTCTATTGTTTCTAAGCACAACACTGCTTTTGAGTAACAACATCAGAAGCTTCTCACAACAACACCTTTCATCATCATCCCTGTTGTACCCTAAAATGTACCTTCCCATTTTCTTCAAAACATTCTTCTAAGAAGTCTCAAGTATTCAAGGTTACTCAAGGGTTGACCAGTCAAACCTCCTCCTAAGAAATGAATCTACAACTAGGATTTTGAGTTTCTCAAGGAAGATTGAGTTTCAAAGGCCTCAAGTGGATTCCATGGTTCTCCACAGGTCTTCAACAATGCTCATATCAAGTTTCAAGTCTTGCATCACAAGTTTACTCAGTCAATGACTCAGATGATTAAAAATCATATGTATTGGTTAAAAAGTCAACTATGGTCAACATACAGTCAAACTTCAAGGTTTTTGGTCAACATCAACATTTTGAAGTGATATTCATTATTTGATCAATGGTTGATCATGATTTCTCAAGGAAAGTCCTCAAATCATCAAAAGTCAAAAGTTACCAAATTAGAGTTTCCTTAGGAGAAGTCAACTGAACTTTGACCAAGCATAACTTTCACATGCTTCATCAAATTTTCCCCAACCAAAACCAATTTTGAAGGAAATTCAATTCTCTACAACTTTATATTTGAATGCTCAAGTCCAAAAAGTGCTTCATTTGAGAGATATGAGCCCATACATTATAGATCATTTCAAAAGTCAACAAAAAAACACTTTTTATCAAGGCAACTTACATCAAGATAAAGTCTCCAGATGCAAAATGATCAAAATATAAATTGAAGAGGACATCTTGAGATTTCTAAAAAGTCAAAGATCACCTTCAAAGGATGAAAATTGAGAGAGTTATGATCAGTGCAAGTTGGAAAATTTTGAGAAAATGCATGAAGTGCAAAGTGAACAAACTTGAAATTTTGAACTAGTGGGCCTAAATTTTGATGTTCAAACATGTTCACAATGTATTAGAATACCTCTAAATTCATGCACATATTTTTCATGATTTTTATTTCTTTTATTTCTTTTATTTTAATTTTTATTCATTTAAATGAAATTAAAACAAATAAAATATGAGGCCATGTTATAAGGCACGTGGACTTACTTTCTTGGATCAATTTCGGCCCAAGACAACTCATTACAACCATGCCAAAACCGTGTGAGCTCAAAAGGGCAAGAAAAATCTCAAAAATGGAAGGTTTTAAACATGTTTGATTCTTGTCTAGCATGACCATGATTGCATGAGACTTTTCCATATTTGTTGATTCTTTCCATGCCTCTACATATACACAGGAGCTCTGGAGCAAAGGACACTCATGCAGCCTCTTTGAACAACCCCAAAAGCTCACAAAATTCCAAGAACTAGGGCAGATTCAAAACCCTTTTTGCAGTCATTCTCACGCGAAAGCATGGATCGAATCATCCTCCCGAGACTTCCAGGAGTACATCCTAACCTTTTTTCTAAGCCAAACCGTGTCCAGAACAGGCTACCCATGTCATAACGGTATTGGTAAAATTCATACACTCAAATCTGTAATTTACGTATTATTGATTGATTTGATGTATGTATACATGCTCATGGTGATTTTTGTGGTTGTTTAGGCCCATTAGTTACAAGTTCTAACGCATGATTCGAGTTTCACCATGATTAGGGCAGGAAACTCAAGGACTTGCGTATTCAATGATACATGCCGTGTTAGATGAAACTAACCCCACCATTGTGTTTGCAGGATCCAACACAATCGATCTACGTTTTTCCTTTTTTGTTTTTGATTGATTTTGTAGGTTTTTTTGAAAAAACACCCATCGAAGATGATGGTGTTTTCCATCCTCCACGATGGTTGCACCCCACTGACCTAGGGTGTGGCACTTTAAGGAACCCTGATTGGTCCATTCAAACAAGGGAGAGTGCGTTTTTGTTGTTTATCTGATGTTAGCATTCATTTTGTATAATATATATTTTTGATTGATTATACTACCGGATGTAAGGGCTGCCCCAGCGGTAGGAGAGTGTGTTACTAAGGTGTTAGTGTACCAGGGCATGGGTTCGATCCCTGTCTGTAATACGGCGGGAGGACTGACTTGGGATGTTTTGCTTTTGATCGCAAATGTTGCGGTTAACAAGAGTCACCACCGACTTTTCTTTTATCCAAAAGGAAAGGTGGAAAAGAACAGGAAAGACCTTTGTGATTATTTCTTGAGTTCGAGAGGTAGATTATGAAAAGGAAAGGTGTTAGCACCCTTTTCATTTATAGTTATTTATGGGCTCTTAGTTGCTTGCTAGATCACTTGCTCTGTTTGAAAATATGCTTTGTGGTGGTTTTTGAAAGTATTTTGAAAAGGCGCCTTCGTTTAGGCAAACTTTGTAATGATTCTCGTTTCGTAAGAACGTATACAAAGTGTTGGACTTTTTGAAAATATTTCATGTTTTTGAAAGTGTTTGGTATGTGTTTGTTTTGAAAGTGTTTGGTGTTTGTTTGCAAGGATGTTTGTTTTGAAAGTGAGCAAGCAACTAAGAATGTTTCTACCTACTCAAAAGTCTTTGTTCTTTTTCTCCTTTCCTTTGATATTGCGATCTTACCATTGATTGGTAAGAAGCCTTATATTTGGATGTAAAGGGACGGGCATGGGTCATCGTATAGTCATGATAGCAATGTTGTAAGATATCTTAGCATTTCTCTTTGAGGGACTAAGATCATTTGAAAGGCAACATTTGTAGCGTCATCGAGGGACTATGATCTTGTATTTTTAATTTGTTTTTGCTAAGACATCCCACATGCATAACATGACCATTTTTAGGCAACAAGTGGAGTTAACCTTAAGGGTGCATGTGTGAATTGTGTGTTTGATTTGCATGCATTTAATCTTTGATTAGGGTTATTTACTTGTTGATTTTTATCTTTCCATACAAACCCTAATTACTAGCATTTATATGAAAGCGATAAATTGCGAAAAGTAAATTTACTACGCTATTACATCATTTGGGGATGGGGTATACAAATTTACAAATGGGGATTGCAAGAAATTAAACTTAATTATCTATTACAACCATATTGAATAATGTACAAGAAATGAATAAATATAATGTGCAAAGATATAATTGGAAAAGAAAAGGATTTTTGCTTGAATTTTGAGGAAAGGGTTTAGTTTTGATCTAATTAACTAAAAGAAGTAATTAATTAAACCTAAACTAATTAAGAAAAGAAATTAAGTTAGAAAGCATCTTTAGGGTTTTTTAGAAAAAAAAAGGGTTTTAAGTCTAATAAAAATAGTATGGAAATTAATTAATTAAAAGAAAACCTAAATTCTAAGTTGATTTTAATTAAAACGAAAATAACTAAACCTAAATTTAATTATTAATTTATTAAGAAAAAGAAATTAAATTTTGTCTTTTTTTTTTAGTTTATAAAGAAAATAAAATATAAGTATGTAAATCGCAAATAAAATAAAAATATATTTTTGGATTTTTGATTTAATAAATAATAATAATAATAATAATAATAATAATAATAATAATAATAAAAATAATAAATTAAAGAAAATAAAATAAAATATAAAAAATAAAGTCAGGGGGTGAAAATAGAATTTAGGATGTATGTTAAACAAAGTTTTATTTTGAAGTCTGACCCATTAATGTTTTTGTAATTAGAAAAATAAACAAAATAAAAAAAGATTGGGCTTGTGTTGTGACAAGCAGGCAGGGGGTGAGGAGAAGGAAAATACAAGGTCCAATGAGGGATGGCCCAGGGTGCTGGTTATGACAAAAAGGAAAGAAAATATTGAGAAAAAAATGACAAAAGGCAGCGCTAGGACTTGAATCCATGACCTTGATCATAAACGCGCGCTGCCTTTATCACTGGGGTGGCTATACATCCGTTAACTAAACTCAAACCATAAATATATAATACAAAACAAGTTCTAGAAATGAACTTCATCTTCAAACTCAAGCCAGGGTCCCTGTAACTCACTTATTTCTCATCCATTCACAAAACTTCCAACATCAAACTTGTTAGAAATTTCACCACGATTCTGAATATGTAAATAACTTAAACTAATTCTCAAAGATGAGCAAGAATTTCTAAAAGTACCAAATCCTTACCTAACTTTTTTCAGAGATTCA